CAACTGTCGACTGTCTCGTTGGTCTCGTGGTCAGATACGCGGTTGCTGATCGTGAGGTTCCGGGTTCGAAATTCGAATCCCGGGTCGGACCAAAATCAGTTGTTGGGTTTGGTTGTGAAGAAATTCTCAGTAGTAGCCCGGAGTTATTAAGTTAGCGGTGCTTCACGTGTTTTGGAAAGCACGTAAAGTCTTGGTCCTGCGCCTGGTCTCCCGTCAGTCGTGACGAGTTACCTTCTCGTCGGACTATGAGAGTGGGGGAATGGCGAGTGCACCTGTGCTTGCGCATCGCATGCACTTGGGCATTATAATCCTATTCCTATCCTGCGCAGATGGCTAGTCTGCGTTGAGAGTGGGCGCCGTGACCGAAATTCGGTCCGGAGGACATTGTTATTTATTAACTAATATAAACTTCAAAGTAAATCACCTGGAAAAATAAAAAAAGGTATTTGGATTTTAAATAATTATATTAAAATAGTTATAACATATAAAAAAGCTATAATAATTTCCTGATACATACATATATTCGTATATACATACGTATTCGTAAGTACATACTTTTGAAGCTGAGGTTTTATTTCTTCGACAAACATTGAAATGATAGTGCACAATAATTGTGCACGAAACAAATGTGTAGCCACAATATTTTTTTCTAGCGAATGTGTGACTTTGGCGTTAGTGGTTCTGGTACAAATTATGCATTTTGCAACTTTCTCTTGTTTTTTTATATTCCGTGGTCTTAGCAGAGCACCAACTTCAGGAACTTAAATCTTTCCTATAATATGGATTTTTTTCTTTTCAGTTTTTGGAGCTTAAAAATAAGGGAATAATTAAGCATAAAAAAGTTACAACCGACAGGTTTTTTATGCTTAATTATTTTTATATTTTTAGTGATTAGTTGTCTATATATGTAATCTATAAATATAAATAGAATTAAAGTGTCTGTCTGTAGGTAATATTGAAGTAACTGACTTCCATTAATCTCACGTGGTTATTTGCATGCTACTAAGACGTTAACAACCATTTTTAATTTTTGTCTGTCTGTGTGTCTGTATGTCTGTTCAGACAAATCTTCGGGATGGTTCAACCGATTGTAATGAAACTACGAGCAGGTGGAGAGTTATGCGAGGAGGTCTTTAGGCTATATTTTATCCGAAAAACTTAAAGGCTTTTTTAAAACCGAAGAATTGGTAAAATAAATGGTATTTGATTAACATATAGATGCAAGCGAACCCTAGGTGGGTGCTAGTATTATATTATAATATAAATTTTTTGACGGCTCCGTGGCGCAGTGGCTTAGCAATGAATTGTTGCGCTGGGGGCCGCCGGTTCGAATCCCGCACGGAACAAGTATTTGTATGACCTACAAATAATTGTTCCGGGTCTGGATGTTTGTCCTTGTGCAATTTTGTGCTTGTAAACTGTCTCCACGATACAGGAGTTAATTCTAGTGTGGGGGTAACGTTTTATTTAAAAAAGAGCAAGAAATAATAATATACATGCCAGCTACGTTTATAGGAAACAAGGGAATTCAGGTCACCATAATATTGAACTCTACAATGTGGTAATATGTTTAATATAACCTATAAGTGCTATAAGCTAAGTTCCATTGGAATCGTTTATCGGGTATTAATAGTTTTATCGTCGTGATCATTATTACAGTCAAAGTCCCCTGTTGAACACAGACCTCCCCATATACATAGATTGCCTCACAATCATAAGGGGGATGCCACGGTACCACGGTTAGCACGCTTGGCAGACGGCTTGGCAAACCGAGTTTTTATTTTCTAGTGGTTATTGGGAACCGTTTAAGTGGATGAAAATCAATATAAACATAACTTCAACAGGAGTCCAATAATGTGAAATCTCATCTCTTATTTTTCCAACCCTAGGTGGAATTTTTCCTTTAAATTGAAATGTAACCAAGTTCAAGTTATAAAACTCAGACACAATCTGCAAAGATATCGGGTAACATAAATGATACAAAAATACACACGAAATAATAACCTCCTCCTCTTTGAAGTCGGCCAAGAATTAAGAATATAATATTTCATTTACTTATGTAGAACAATTTAGAGTAGTGATAGCACATAAAGAAGCACCTGCTTTAGAATTTGACGGCGCATTAAGTTAACTTAAAAATACCTTTTTTATTATAGATAAGGGCTTATCTGCCGACTTCCAAAAAGGAGACGGTATTCAATTCGACTGTATGTTTTCTTTTATGGGTGTGACCTCATTACGTTTTACTCAGTGAACCGATTTCGATGATTCTTTTCTTATTTGAAAGCAGATACTTCTCGTGTGGTCCCATATGAATTTGATTAAGGTCAGACCAATAGTTTTTGAGTTATTCTTAATAACTTATATTGAATTCGGCTGTACAAAATTTTTTATTTTAAATTATTCTTCATCCATACGAGCAAGCTTTTGCTCATAACTTAATATCACATTGTAATAACAAAATTCTACTAGGTTCTTCTTAGTTTCAATGAATGACGCTGAACTAAAAATACCAGCGGCCAGCGCCGGTCCAGGCAACAGGCTCGCGGCGCGCGGGTTGAGGAGCGAGGACTATCGGGCCACAGCCACATGCTAGTGCTACATATGTAACTACACATCCTCTCGTCTCGACGTATACCCAGTTTTTACTCACCAAACTACTGTAGTGATCTGTGTTAGTGGTTGTTTTAACCAAGTGATAGTTGTCATTTAATGAAAGTAATTACTAAATTCTAAGTGACATAATTTATTACAAACATCTCAGGGTTTTCAAAGCAATAAACTTTTAAAAGTTCGTAAGTACAGGTTGATTACATTAGTAGCAGTTTTTAATGTAGTAGACATGAATGTAGTAACTGATTAATTGTGTAGAATCATTAGTGTTCTTTATAAGTTTTTAATACTAAAGGATATTTCAAGGATTTTCAGTACAATCGTTCAAAATTCAGAAATTACATAGGCTTAGGCTTACGTATGACACTGAGTTATAAATATTCTATATAATATGGTCACAGAATAAATAATATGATATGGTTGGAATGTTTTGTTTACTTTGTCTAAGTCAATATTGTTTCTAATTTATTATTTTCATGTGCAAATGGATAAACGTATGTAAATTATTTTAAGTACTTACTTAAATATTATGTTTGTTCTTAAGTTGTACATATAATATGTATACAAAAACATTATTTTTCTATAACAGGCCATTGTATGTGTTTCAACTTTTCTTTCACACTCAGAACTTTTTTATAGGTGAACCGATTTTGATGATACTTTGAAAGCTGGTGCTTCTCATGTGGTTCCATGTAAATTTGACCAGTAGTTTTTGAGTTATCCTTAATAATGCGTATTTAATTGACTTGGACTAAATTGATGATGTTCTAATTTTATTTATATTGAAGTCGGTTGTACAAAACTTTTAATTTTACCAGTTGTTTTGTAAACCGCGAACTAGTCCAATCATTTAGCTAAAAATCTGAATAACGGTTGACGCTGCATGTCACCCTGGAACTTCCCGCTTGTTTTCGAGCTCAACGCTCGAAAATCTGTTTAAATTTCTTTTTTTCTTTGTATTTTCTTTTTTGGAAATCTTTGCAACGGCTCTACCGATTGATTTGAAAATCTAATCAGCTCGAAATCTTAATAAACATTTTCGAACGTCGTGTCGTCCTTCTCGATCGTTTGATTCATTCTAAAGATATCGTACGACAGCATTTTATTTACACACATCATATATACTACATACATACATACACACACACACGACCGGGCGTCCAGCCGGGAATAGTCGGAACGGCTTCCTAAGACCTCAAAACGTGGAGATCAGATGTAGACTCGCATTCTCAAAATCGGACCGACATCTATGACTTCCTGCTTTTGAAAATAAATTTTCAAAGCGGGAAGTTAAAAAATTGACAAAATTAATGGAGTAATTTTATATATCGGCATATGTAAATAATAGAGTCAAGTAAAATTTTACACATTAGCTCTCCCCCTCTCCGGTGAGTGTAGCGCCCCCTCCCCGCGCCCCAAAAAGTGTCTTGAAGCGCGATTTTTTCCAGTTTTATAGAAAACCGTACACTATACAATACGTAAGAATTTTGAAAATAGCATATCAATGTGTAATGAAAAGTTTAGAAATAAATTATACCTCTTTTTAAAGAGCATAATATTCTATTCTTTACTTTAGTCATCATACATATTTTGACCCTACAATGGAAAATTTTTGAGAAATATAGCTAACTGAAAAAAAAATCGATGAGATAAAAATGTTTATGTTTATATTTCGTGGCAGATTACGCGGAAAATATAAATTATATCGCTTTAAATAAATCTAAATTATAACAGGTTGATAGAAAATTTATTAAGAATCATTTCGTAGCTGTACACTTCGTGTACGGTTTTCTTTAAAACTGGAAAAACCGCGCTTCGGGACACTTTCTGGAGCGCGGCGGTGTGGCGCTCACCCGGAAGGGGCAGGGAGAGTGGATATAACTTAATTTCGCTCTATAACGTACATAATATGCCGTTACATAAAAGGACTCCATTGATTTTGCCAATTTTTCCATACATTGTTATTGTTTGTTGCTTGAGCTAAACGTTGTTTTCGACAAACTAACACTGATCTTGTTTAATGTGACTAAGAAAACGTTAATTCATATAAATTAATGAAATGAAAATCACACATGCGTGGGCACTTTGTCAACGTGATTTAAAGTTTATTTCAAATAAGTATGTAACTTTATGTCGTATTTACTTAAAAACAAAATTTTCGTACATAGATAAAAAATTAAGTGCGTGGCATATTTACCGGGCCACCCACCAGCAGCTGTAGCACGCGCCTGCGCATGTTACGAGTGCAGCTGTGATACAGTGCTTGTTCTGAATTGCCGGCATTGTCATTGCAATAAGTAAAGAGAACATAACACTCTGTGCGAAGTGAAAGATTATAAAAAGTAATTTTATAATAGTATCTAAATAATACAGGGTCACAGGTCGTGATGCGGTGGCGCGTGGGCTGGTGGCGAAGCGTGGGCGCGGGCTGGTGGCGCGTGGGCGCGGCTCTCCTGCTGCTGGCGGCACTGCTGCCGCGCGTGCCGCTCCACTCGCACCTGGCCGCCGACTTCACACACCTCACTCCTCACGAGCTTGCACATTTCCTCGCAGACTTCTCAAATTATCCCAAACTTTATGCAGACCTGTGAGATTAAAGGATTACAATTTTCTTACATTAAGTGACAAATGACTTTACAGCCAACCTGATGGTAAGTGACCAGTGCCGGCTTTAGGCCGGGACAACCCGGGCGGCCACCCAGGGCGCCCTGGTTTACAGGGCGCCACACGCGCCAGCTTACCTTCACCACTTAATTTAATTTACTCTTCTATAATCTCAATTTATCTAAAATTTAAAGTAGGTTTTTAATTAAATTCAAATTAGCGACCCATCCGTGGCTTCGCCCGCGTAATCAGCATAACATAATTTATACAATATCGTTATAAATTATAGCCTGTGTTTTGTGATGTACTTGTAAACGCTGTATTACTGTAAAGTTTAATCAAAATCCGTTCAGTAGATTTTGCATGGGAGAGTAACAAAGCATTCATCCACGTACGTTAACATACCTTACAAATTTCACTCGTATAACATTAGTAGGATATAAAAGGGCGCCAAAGGAATCACCCGCCCGGGGCACTTAGATAGTTAGGGCCGACCCTGTTAGTGACTACTGTAGAGCTTGGACTCACGCAGCCAACTTCAAAATAGACTAAAGGTGCTGTTGTTATATAGTAGCAGTGTCTGATCACCCTTGAGGAACAAGATGAAATGGCTCACAGCCAGTATTGTACGTGTTTTTTGCACCACAACAGTGGCTGCACTGTTAAATGTTTAATAGATAAGGTAGAAATAGAAAATAATCCTATAACTATGACTACAAAGTTCTGAATTTTTGTCTTATGTTGTATGTTTGTATATTATTAGATTCATGAAGGTGAAATCCTGTGTGCCAAAGACTACATTGTAATAGTAAAGTACACAGAAGTAACCACAGAATAACTAATAGTACAAGACAGAATAAATAATAGTACAAGAACAGAAGAATCACTCTCTGATAGCAAACTTGCGAGTTTAAACCTAGTTACAACGTTGCTAATGCTTATAATACTTTGCACGCCTTGGAAGCGAACTTCGTTAAATTAGCCTACTGATTAAATCACCGAAAAAAAAAATTAATGCGGCGCGCGAATGTAATCAAAATGCACCTTACGTCGGCGTGCGCAATTCTGTATCGCTTAGCCCGTTACGTTACTTTGTTAAAGCCGCTCCTACTGTAGGGTTAGGTGTTGTGAGAAAACAAATTGAATCCTTTGATATTGCTTCATTTTTTTATTTGCATTTACTTCAAAGAAAATACACGCAAAAAGCTTCATCGCGCAATAAAAACACAATAAATATATGTATAACTAATACGAAAAATTATACCCAAAACAAACAAATAATACTACCTATAAATAACCTAATATGTAATAATATTATAATATTATCGACTGATAAGATGACATGAACGTGTGCGCTGGCAGACGCTCTAACGACACAGGTTCCACGTGTAAGAGCTCAGCGCTCACTGACTCCAGCAAGCCCGTGGGCAGTGAATACGCCCAGTTTTTAAAATAATTTCTTAATAAAATCAAATTTTGGCCTTTTGAAAAAAAATTATAATAGAAATGTTCATTAATAAATTGCCTATCCATTGGTGTAAATCGCAAAATAAAATAATACTTACTTTACGAGGAGATGCATGTTATCAATAATAATTTCACATTTATGTGGTTTCGTTGTAAGGAGATTATATTAATATTTATTCCTTTAAAAAAATTGGATATAGCTTTTATGGAATCAAGATCATGTAGAAATATAATGTGTTTTTTATTTGTTGATATATCTTTTAAATAAAAAGTAGATAGCTTCTAAAAACCGCACAAATAACGACTAGCGCGACATTTTGCTCAACCTGCGCCTTATGTTTATGCATACGCAATAATCCATGCGCACTACGCAGTTAGTAGTGGTCACTGGTAGTTACGCTTAAATCGTTATTAATATTTATTGAACATTATTCTAATTTCTCGTGCGTTGCATGTGTTTTATTTCATAAAAATTAATTTTTCTTACATAATATCTAATATTTCTGCGGCCCTGTTTTGTTTTTGTTTAAAAATGTCGCGAAAGCAATGTGTGTGCAGGGGGTTTCAGGGGCGATAAATCGATTTAGCTAGGAATTATTTTTAGAAAATGCCGGTTTATCTCTGTTTTCAGGCAATGAAAAACTGCTAAAATATCATTAGAGTACAAAGATAAATTTCGCCACTATGTACAAGGTTATAATAGCTCAGGTGGGAAATTAGGCGGTCCCGAAACCAAAACACCCCCGGTTCGAGTCCAGATGTGTTTATTTTTCCTTATATTTTCAAGTTACTATTTTGTAAGAATTAAACGCCATCTGTTAGGCAGACACGACGCGATATCGAAAATTAATTTTGAGTCGCGCATCTATCTCTAGTATATATACAGTAATCTATGATCTTACCTTTCGATATCCTTATGATGAGTAAAGAATGAAAAGCCGACATTCCTATTGTTATTTAACTGTATGATAGGCTTTGTGAGTTGCCATACTTGATTAAAAACTTAAAAATAAATATTAAAAGTGCCTAAATACTTACAAGAGAAAAATATTTTTTTTTGTTAATGTAAGGAGCACGTCAACTCGAGCGCACGCGTGATAATCTCACTGAATTAGCCTCTTGTAGGCGGTCGTGCAGTGTAGGTATATTTCATGCCTAATTTACGGAGTAAGACAGGGCTGGTAATACCTCGAACTTATGCGATAGGTAGAACGAAACGATAATAGTGTCGCATAAGTCGGGCTATGATTATGCATATAAATTAGACTTGCAACGAATATTCGGCTATTATTCAATCCGTTAGGAGGGCCGCTCTGAAGGTGTTTTAAAAAAACTTTTACACCCAATCCCGAAAGTTCTTTTGGTTTATTTCACTTTTATCTAACTAGGGTTGGACATAACAGATCGAATACCGAATATAGGTAGTATTGGGCCGAATACCGAATACTTAAGTAACAAGATTTATTGTAGTCAGATTATTGATAAAATGAAAATATTCATTATTTAATATTTTCTAATTCCATAGATAAGGTTTATAAATGTTTATTTTTTCAGTCGCAGTTAATAGCTACGTAGGTCACTCAATAAATTTTGAGATATACAAAAAGTATTCTACATATTAATAATATTTATTTTACATTTTTTCAAAATATTCTCCATCATGCTCTATACATATTTCTATTCGCCTAAACCAACTCTGAAAACACTTTTGCCAGTCTTGATCTGACAGGTCGGAAATCACTTCTTCGTAGGCAGCCACGGCTTCTTCGGCGCTTGAAAAAAACTTGCCTTTTATTTTTTCTTTGAATCTTGGGAATAAAAAGAAATCACAAGGAGCTAAGTCAGGGCTCTAGGGTGGGTGACTTAGAGTTTCAACACCAGCTTCTAAGGGAGGTATGTGAAGAGGCGTTATCGTAATGCAGCATGATTCCCCGAAGCCCGGTCTTTGGTCTTCTCTGCCGCACAGCTTGAAAAGATTTGGGTAATGCAACTGTAGTATACCATTCAGAGTTGACTGACCTAGAATTTTCCAGCATTGACGTCGACAAATGTCCGCTCGGCGAAAAAAAACTAAACGGACATTTTTTGCCGACGTTGCGAGGTCTGTCCTTCTGAGAAGACCCATACCGATGATTGCCTTTTATTTTCCGGATCATATTTATAGATCCATGTCTCGTCACCAGTAACGATTTCTGAAACACGCCTAGATGCTCCGTTTTCAAAACGTAGACGCATTTCATGGCACCAATCCACACGAGTCTGTTTTTCTCTTTCGGGGAGCAAACGAGGGATCCATCGACAACAAAGTTTCCTCATTCCAAGATGTTGATGTAGGATGGTATGAATGCTATTAATGCCCATTCCAAACTCCGAAGTAAAATCTTTTCGATGTCGGTATATGTGATTCGTGAGTCTTCTCGCACCAACATTTCAGTAGTCCATACATTTTCTGCCGTTAGTGCTGTTTACGGCAGACCCCGATTCTTTGATCATCTTTAATATTAATTTTACTTCTTTTGAATTCAGAAAACCACCTAAAAATTGTTGCGCGTGATAGAGCTGAGTCCCCTAATGCTGATTGTAACCGCTGTAAACTTAATTGTTCGGTTAAACCAAATTTAAAATCACAATATATAATAGCGCGCAAATGTTCACGGTTAAGATTCATCGTTTTAAATGAAAAGCCGGGAAGCGTTGCAGGAAAATTAATAAAACTTTGTTTTTTTTTTTAATATTGAGCTTTTTGAGTTCTATTTATTTCGAGCATCTCAAAACTTATTGAGTGACCTACTTATGATGGATTTATATTATATATATATATATATATATATATATATATATATCTTACCTATGTACTTATATATCATTCTATATTTCTATTTTATGGCTTTAATAAAAACAATGTTATTTTTATCGCCAAACCACACACGTTTTTATAATTTTCTTGTAATACTGTACATCAAAAGGTTGTCTAGAAGATATATAGGTATATATATGATATAATTTAGTATCCCCGGACATAAAAGTTCGTATATTTTTGATACTTGATTATGATTAGTTAAAGGCAAAATCACAAAAAAATAACAAAATTGAAAAATAGTGTAACTTTGAATTCGTGTAAGATGGTGTCGCAAGTCCCAAAATAAAATATTTTATTGATTGAAAGGGCATTCTGAAATACGTTTCTTTTTTAATAGAATATGGATGACCAAAGAGCACACAATGCACCTGATGGTAAGTGGATGCTATGGCACATAAATATTTAGATCTATCTTCAATTAAAAATCAAAATGCAGATACATAGTCATCCTTGAGGACTAAGATGGAGTGCCTCATTTTCTGTAATAAGGGTGTTTGGTTCTCTATACATACGAAACACAGCAGTATTAAGCTGCTATTTTAAGCTGGTATTCGGTGAGAGAAGGTTAAACGTAGTCTGGGAGGTCTCTTAGCTAGGTGGAGCGAGCACAAGGCGGCTGCCTGCAGCTGGAAGCGTGTAGCCGAAGATCGGGCTAAGTGACGCGCTTTGAAGTGAGTTGGGACCGTGTGAGAGCGTAGTTCTTCCCCAGTTGAGCTGACCCATTCCTGCTACAACCATAATATAATGTCGTCTAATAGGATTCTTTGCTTTTAAATAACAATTTTCTTTTCTCCCATGTTGAAGGGAATCATGGATGGTGGAGGAAGAGGCGGGTAACTACACGTGGTGGCGATACTCGGTGTCGTACACGTGCGGTGCGCGATGCACGGGGCGCGCGGCCGTGTGGCACGCGGCGGGGGATGCGGCGGGGGGTGCGGCGGGGGACACGCCGCGGCACGGCGCTGCTCCCGCGCACCGCGTACGGGTGTTGGACTCGCGCTGCACGCGCCTGCCGCTGCTACCTTGGCCACAACTCTGCGGTACCTAATGTTTTTTGTAATACTCGCTGAGGTTAATCCTCATCACATGAAGATATCCCAACTTTATTGACGATCAGTACTCTAACCCTGTCTTCTTGAGGCCAGGTTGCACAATTTAGTAAGCGAACGGTGTAATTTAGGGCCACGGGTTGGGCGTTGACTGAGTATATTGGCAGTGAGAAGCATCATCCTGACTGTCCATAGACTAATTTGCACACATCTCTCTTTCTCTAGGTTTTCTAGATAGAGATTATTCTGTCGTTCAGTGTTTGTAGAATCAGGTCTTCTACTGACAAAACTGGTTCTCTAGACTGTTGAACGGTTATCTCTTGTCCACATAAGATTGACTACAATCTTCCTTAAGCTGTGCTATAGTTTAGCTGGATGTCTTATTAACCTCTTACCTTCTTTTTCCTAGATAGTAAAAAGCCACCCGAGTAGTGGAAAGATTTTTTTTTACAGAATAAGGGTGTGAGCACACAGCCAACCTAAAGTAAATAGGTGTTGTGGCCCATAGACATGTAGATCTATCCTTGATTAAGAATCAGAATGCAGATACGTTGTGACACTCAAATAGGTTCTTCGGTTTTCTACACTTATCATATGAAATACAGCTTTAGGCTGTTATTCCATGCTGGTAGTCATGCATGGTTCCTCCCCGGTTGAGCTGACCCATTCGTGCTACAACCACAACATAGCTGCAACATGGCTCTACCACGTAAAATATCATAACATATTACAAATGTGTCAAGTTGAGAATATTTGTGTACGTAGAGGAGAGTGAGGTCGAGACGCTGATCGTGGAGCGTGTGGGCGGCGGCGCGCGGCTGGAGGAGCGCGCGCGCGGCGCGTGCGGCGCGCTGGCGGCGGCGGCGGCGCGCTGCGACCTGCCGGCGCGGCGCCGCCAGCACCTGCTGGCGCTGCGGCACGCGCTGCCGCCTCGTTAGCCGTACTTTAGCTAGCTTTATTTATGCTTAGAAGTTCAAATAATCATTTATTAATACAAAACTGTCTTTGTGGTCGTTAGTAACTCTCTATCGCATCTCGCATCTATATTATTATGTAAATGTGTCTGAAATAAACGCTTTCTTATGAGTATATTTGGCATTTTATTTATAATGGTTTTATTTAATTAAATGAGGTACGTAATGATAGAAGCTAATGCGAACACTACACATTGTTTTACGAATTTTTTTAATCATATACATACTTTTCTATTTGTCGGAATGTAATTGACGGCTCTGTGGGAAAGTGGCTTAGGATCGAGTTGCACGCTAATGGCCGCTAGTTTGAATTCCGCACGGAACAGGAATTTGTATGGCCTACAAATAACTGTTCTGGGTTTGTCCTTGTACAATTTATGTTTGTAAACTGCCTTCACGATACGGGAGAAAACCCTGTTTAAAAAAAACAAATATATAGTGGTTAATTGTTAAAATAGAATAGAATAGAATAATTTTTATTCAATATTGATTATTACATAATACTTATTGAAAGTCATTTTTTATTTACCACTGGTTTTATACGTGGTAGAGCCATGCTGCATCTATATTATGGTTGTAGCACGAATGGGTCGGCTCGACCGGGGAAGGACCACGCTCTCACAGAATACCAGCGTAAAATAGCAGCTTAACGCTGCTGTGTTTCGTATGGTGAGTGTAGAGAACCGGAGACCCTTTTTACTGGAAACGAGGCATTCCATCTTAGTCCTCACGGGTGACAACGCATCTGCATTTTGACTCTTAATCGAAGATAGATGTAGATGTCTATGGGCCACAGCGACCACTTACCATCAGGTGGACTGTGTGCTCGTTTGTCACCCTTATCCTATAAAAAAAAAAAAATACCTCTGTCCTGGGAAGAACCAGCAAGAAACCCAGCGGGACTTTTTTAAACATAATTTCATTTAATAATAATTTTGTTTATACAATTTTAAATGTATTTTCACTCAATGTTCAATGTATTTTGAACCAGCATGGTGGCGATCACCTTATTCCCAGAGGTTATTTTTATTCATGTATTCCTTGATATTAATTTTCATTCATGTATTCCTTGATATTATAATAACCCCTTTTGTACAGTTTTTCTTTAATAAAACTTTTAAACTTGTTTATTGACAAAGGACAATGTTAAAACTTGCCTAAGAACCAACATATATTTGACAATTAAAAAAATTCTTATCGTTAATTATGCATTAGATAACATTCATTAAATAGTAACGGACACTTCTGACTTGTGAAATCAAAATAAAAAGGACTTTTTCGATTTTGAACTTCATACCTATTTTTTAATACTATTGTGCTGCGTTTATGGCCTCCTGTGATTTGGCCAATCGCACAATACCTTCACTCACATGTTTCAAAAGTTGTCATAAACAGGGGCGTAGCTACCGCCGTATCAGCCGTATCAATGATACGGGACCCCGGGCTATAGGGGCCCCGAACTTGTGTGAGCAAAAATTCCAAGGACTTCCATGGAACAGGAACGGCTATCACTATTGTCTATAGAAGTAAAGAAGTAAAACTAATTATAAAATGCTAATTACATAGGTGCTATAAAATATAAAATGTAAATCTGAAATCGTCTTCAGCTATGAATTAGGCATATCATCTAACATCTGATCATTGTGGATAAATATTTGCATTTAAAGATAATAGAATTAAAAAACTCAAAAGGTTGCATGAGTTTGTCCAGTAACATCATCACGTTTGAGACAATTCAATAACAATATTAAATTACTAGTGCCTCTTCTTGACTTAAATCAAAATCATCCAGACTTATTATATAATGGACTTTTTCCAAAGGAAACGGGGATTTCTGGGCCCAATTTGTAATAAGTTGAAATATGATTTAAAAAAGCGTTACATTTTTCTATTTCAAAATATGAAAAAATTAGCCCAATTTACAATCTGGAAGGAGAGAAATCTTAAAAATAAGTTTACGTCATGAATAAAATAGGAAATCGATTAATGTGATTGAGTTTAAAAATTAAACATAAAAACAACTTACACTACATTACAATTAAGATAGAATAGAATAGAATAATTTTTTATTCAATATATATCACGTGTATTTCTTATTGAAAGTCATTTTTTACTTTACCACTGGTTCGAAAAACAACCTCTGTCCTGGGAAGAACCATCAAGAAACCCAGCGGGACTTTTTTTTAAAGCAAATTTTACAATAATGGTTGTACAAACTATATAAGTACAAAATTTATTTTAGAAACAGCTTGGAAGCGATCACCTCATTCCCAGGGGTTATTATCAACCATGTATTCATTTACACTATAATAACCCTTTTTATACAGCAAAACATTTAAACTTGCTAAATAGAGAGAGCCTGTACACTTTCCGGGACCTTGTTGTAATAGCGTATACATTGCCCCAAGAATGAATTACTGACTCTGTGGAGTCAAGAAACTGGTATCACTAGCTTGTGTTTGTTCCTAGTGTTTACAGAACGTATATCACTTTTTTTTTACTAAAACTACCTTTGTTTTTGTGAACATAAATTAAATTTTCTTAAATTTTACTGAGAGGCCAAAGTTAATATATTTATTTCTTTAAATTTATCTCTAAGAGAATCTCTCGGTTTTAGGTTGTAAATAGCTCTAATGGCCCTATTCTGTAAAACGAAAATAGTTTCTGAATCAGCCGCATTTCCCCATAGCAAAATCTCATAACACATTATGCTATGAAAATAACTGAAATAAACCAATCTAGCTGTCTCGACACTAGTGAAACCTCTAATATTTTTTAGCATAGGCTGCAGAACTTAGTCTGCTTGCTAGTTTGGATATATGGGGGCCCCACTGAAGCTTTGCGTCGAGAGTGATGCCAAGAAAAACAGTGTATTCAACAGGGCTCAGTTCTTTCCCATTTAAAAACACATTGGTACTCAGATTTTTAACATTCGATGTTGTAAATTTAATACATTTAGTTTTATTTCCGTTTAAATGTAGATTATTAACGTTGAACCAATGTACTAATTTTGATATAGCATTATTCACTTCGTCACATTTAAATGATTGACGTTTAAGTTTAAAAATCAAGGAAGTATCATCAGCAAATAATACTATATCATGATTATCCTCTATAAGAGAAGGTAAGTCATTAATATACACTAGAAATAGGAATGGGCCGAGAGTCGAGCCCCGAGGGACACCCATTAGTACAGGTGAGCCGGAAGAACTTTTACCATTGATAATAACTTTCTGCATTCTATTACTTAAATATGAAATAATAAGTTTAAGCGCTGTGTTCTTGACACCAAAGTACTGTAGCTTCCTGATTAATGGCTTATGGTGTACGCAGTCGAAGGTCTTGAAAAGGTCACAAAATATACCCAAAGCACCCTCTGAATCTTCCCATGCACAAAAAATATGTTTAATAAACTCAACTCCAGCGTCAGTTGTCGAGCGACCCTTTGTGAAATCGAATTGATTTCTATGTAGCAATTTATTAATATTAAAGAAATTTAACATCTGATCTAAAATTATTTTTTAAAAAAATTTTACTAAATGTTGGTAGTACTGAAATTGGTCTAAAATTGGCGGGGTCTAATGTACTACCAGATTTAAATAAAGGTATGACTTTACTATGTTTCATTAAATCAGGAAACACACCAGATTCGACGCTTGTATTAAATATAGTGGCTAGATAAGGTGCTATTATATCTATTATAGATAAAATAACTTTAACGGAAATCCCCCATAAATCTGCCGTTTTCTTAACATCAATAGTTTTAAAATATTTAACGATATCTTTTGGCAGTACTCTATGGAGTTTAAAAGTATTTGAACAATTCTTTACATTTTGTTTGAGCAATGATTCGGCGCCAGTAGGAGAAAAGTTTAATGATTTAGTTGTCAAAAAAGGAACATCAGTAAAATGTTTCTCAAATCCATAGCAACTTCTTGATCAGATCGGGTTAAATTATTGTTAATATTCAATTGTAAATCCGAGTTGCGCGGTTTGACCTTGCCCGTTTCACTATTTATTTGATAGTGCCAACAGTTTAAAAAATAAAATATCAACATAATAAATCGAAAAATCGATTCTCGTTTATAATTGGATTTATTACTAGTGTTTATCAACTATAGTTTTAATCTGTGCTGACAGTGACAGCTCCTGCCTGACTCATACTATGATTACTCGTCTCGTATTGTTTAGTGGTATCTCGTTTACTCGTTCGACTTTGGCTCGTTTTTGTGGATTTATCGATTGGATATTGACACAATGGATCGTTGTGTGAATTGTGGCATAGCGACTGGTCGCTGTAATACACTAGGCCGACGATCTCTCCAAAATAGCAATTACACTTCAAAAATCAGCTGTTTAGTATAGGTTGTTGTCAATTTGTTGCATAATCTTACTTTTACTAAATCTCTTATAACTCTGCTCCCAGATTGCCAAAATGCGCAGAATTTTCAGTAATGTTTTGATAATATATAAGTTTTTAATTGACACTACTTTCATTTTTTTACAATCTGGGCCCAAGAATGTATGAAAGCGTATCAGTCTCCTTTTAGAGATTGAGTTTAACAAAATTTTTAAAACAAAAATTATAGGTAGTTACAATCAGATGAAGTTTAGTGATTGGACCACTGTGGGTATACATAGGAGTAGAAAAAAGTTATATGACCAATATATTATCAAAAAATATAATCATAATAAAGAATTTATACAATATGTAAAATCGTATTCTAAAATATTCAGAATAGTTTGTAATAAAGCGAAAGCATTACATTTACGACAAACAATTAAATCTTCGAAGAACAAGCCTAAAACTAGGTACTTGGAAAATTATTAATAAAGAAATTGGAAATAAAAAATTAAGAGAATCGGAAATTAATTTAAAAATTAGCAACCAACTCATTTGTAATGATATAGATGTAGCAAATACTTTTGAATCTTATTTTACTAACATTCCATTAGTTATTTCT